TCCGGAGCTCGCAGGTCCTTGTGGGGAAGGCAAAGGCGAGGCTGGATTTGCTCGCCCGGGCGCTCTCGGGGCAGCTGCGGTGAACGTGGCACGGCGCAGGATGGTTGGGCTCATCGCAACCAGAAGCATCCTTAATTTTCCGTATTTTGGCAGCAGAGCTGTGACCATGACCCGGAGAGCAGATCTTGGGGCTCATCTCTGAACAGGGCTGCTGTTTGGACCTAAAAATCCAATTTTCAGTGCAAATACTTCGTTTCTTTCCAGAAAGAAAAGAGGCTTTTTACCTGTGAGAGCATTTGTTGTGGCTGTTGCTTTTCAGTAAAAGCTGGAGCGATTTCTGGCTCTTCGGGGGGAGCGTGAAGGGTTCCCATGCTTAAAGCAATGGAAATACTTGCCCTTTAATGGAATTTCTTATGGAAAATAACGAACACATCTACCTGCTCCTCTCCGTACAGAAAGGTGTCAGCAGCAGCTTGCTGCTACAGCCGGCTTAGAAACCAGCGCCGGGGGAATAACTCCTTCCAAATCCCGTATTTGTTTGAGTTCTGCTGCTTTTCCCCGTTTGCTGCAGCCCACAGAATCCCCAGACTCATTCCTCATTCAGAGCCATTCGGGAAACAAAGCCCAACACCCCTCAGGACCGATTTAGTCTCCCAACATCAATGACTCTTGAGTCCTGGATTCGGCCGGCGCTGCTCGACTGCACGGGGAGCCCAGGGGAAGGGAGGGGAGGTCTGGAGGATCTGCAGAAGCTTGGTTGCCCTCCAAAAGCCTCTTCCTGAATTTTTAAGGGGGTTGAATTGGGGTGTGGGGCCGGGCGATGCTCACCCTGGTGCTCTTTGCTTTCCGAGCCTTGGGAAGGAGGCTGCTCGGCTCTAACCTGTCCGTTTTCTTCACCAAGGCTATGGAAAATCCCGGAGCCTAAGCAGCATAGATGGCATGGCAGCATCCACGGTGGGCTTGGCTCCCCTCGCGTCCCGCCGCAGCTCTCCCTGTCCTCTGCGGCGGCCCCGCTCTCCCGTCCCCTCCATCCTCTAAAACACCGCCTGGACCCCGCTCTGTCGTGCCGCGTCGCTCTGTTCCCCCCTTCCCCGCGACACCGCGTCTCCGCGGCGCTGCCTGTGCCCGGAGGAGACCGAGCTGGGACGTCTCCACCGCTGAGGAGCAGGTTCTGATCTTCTCCAGCCCGGCGCTGCCGCCGTGCTGCCCTTGCCTGGTTTGCAGGATGTGTCACGTCTCCATTGAACCTGTCTCGTGTCCACGTCTCTGGGACGGTCCCTGGAGTGGCTTGAGGGTTTGCTCAGTGGTTTGGTTTTTCCCACCCCCCTCCCCGCCTTGAAACCTTATTCATCCTAAATAAATTGGGCCAACCCTCCGGTGTCGAGCCCTCCTTCCCGTGGGCCGATTGCACTTGGGCTAAAGGGTGGTGGAAATGCAAGGACGACATGTTGACTCATAAAATTATATATCATTGTGCTGGAAATGGCTGAGTTCATAGAATTTTAGGTCTTTTTGTTTGTTTGTTTTTAAAAACAGCCTCAAGTTTCCGGAGGCAACAGATGAATAAACCTCTATTCCCTGCCCAGCAGCGGTTCCCCTCATTTTGTGCCTTTTCTGCCTCAATCCCCCTCGCTCCTTCCCTGCTTGTGTCTCCATCCAGCCTCGGGGAGGGTCCTGGGGCTGAACGTGGCTTCGGCAGCCTTGAAACCAGCCCCGGGGTCCCGCGGGGGCTGTGGGGCCCCAGGCTGGGCGCAGGGAGCAGACGGAGCCGGGGTGAAAGATTGGCAAAATATACGTGTGGGTGCTGCCCCGGTGGGGAGGGGAACGCGGGTCCCCGGGAGCGGTTGGGAAAGCTGCTGCCGCCGCTGTTGAATAGTGGGGAAATGAGGGATTTGGGACAAAACGATGCCTAAATGGATGGGAGGATGAATCCGCTGTTGAGATGGACGCAGGGTGGTGGGGCAGAGCGTCCCCGTGGGGAAGGGAGCCGGGTTCGAACCTGGTCCTCCCTCACCCTTGGGAGGATGAGGTTGGAGTGCCAAACTCCCCGACGCACTGCTGGTTTTTGCCGGCACATACTAGTTTTTGGGATGATTTTGGATGACCTCAGGTGTCTTCCTGAACTTCGGTCCCCTGACTTCTGGCTCATTTCTAGCTCCGTCGCCCCGGCTCTGCTTCCCTGGAGACGTCTGGGTCTCGGGCGGCCGAAAGGGGCTGGTCTGGTGGGTGCAGCCCTGGTCTCCACCCTCATCCCGCTGCGCTCTCGGTCCCTTTCCTTACTCCGAGCGAGTCCAGCTCAGTGGGGCTGGAGCCTGGGGACGTTCAGCCGGAGGATGGGGAGCAAAGCTTAGGTTTGGGTTTGTTTAAAAGCCCCAAGAGCTTTTTGGGGGTCAGGCCTTTCCTCTCTGTCATGGCCAAACCAGAGCTGGTGCTCAGAGGATGACGCAGAGCGAGGATCCCCTTGGTGCAAGGCTGGTCCCGAAGGAGCCGGGCTGGATTTTGGATGGTCCCACAGCCGGGACCCTCCTGCCCCTTCCCATGCTCCCCGTGCCTCAGTTTCCCTCAGTGTAGAGAGGGAGAGAGCCTCCTGCAATAGCTCCTTGCTGCCGCGGTGGAAGAGACGCTGTGCAAGGAGGAAGCATTAAATGCTTCGTCCGGCTTATTTTTTTTTCCTCCCCATGGCGTTGGAGGAGCTGCCAGGAGGAGCCGGTCCCCACATCCCCAAAACAACCCCCTCCAAGTCCTGTGTGGGGCCAGCAAGAAGCCCTTGCCTTTTATTTTGCTTTTCTTCTTTCCTTCCTGCCTTCCCCTGCCCGAGCCGTGCGAGCAGAGCAGCGAGAGTCAAAGGAAAGCAGAAAAGAGGGTGAAAAAACTCGGTGCCACGAGCCGGATCCTGAGGCTTGACAGCAGGAACGGAGCACAGCATAGACCCGGTGCTGGAGCTGGAATTTCTCTGGATTTGGGGAGAAATGAGGATGAGCCGCATCCCTTCTCTGCCCAGGATGTCCCGTGGCGGATTCCGATCCCTGTGCCGCGGTGGGGATTCACTCCTTGCCAGAGGAACCCGAGTTTGCCGTGTGTCGCTGCGTTCCTTGGATTTCTGTAATTAAAATGTGTTCCCATGCTGGGGGGGTTCGTGAATCACCCAAAAACCCCGTGAGCTGGGCGACGGGGTGAGTACGGCGGCACCGTACGGGCGCTTCTCTGGCACACCCTTCCCTTCGGAGCGGGCTCCTCCGGCAGCAGGAGGAGCTGGAATATCCCCAGCGAGAGGGAAGGTCACCCTCCATGATTTCAGTGGTCTCGGAATCATAAATGATTTAACCAAGGTCACGCGCTGACTTTGGGGACGAGCCAGGCGTGAAAAACCAGCTCTGCTGCCCTGTCGCGTGCAGAAGCAGCAGATCGAGAGACTCAAACTTTGGGGTTTGAGCCTCCTGAAAGCAGAGGATTATCCTGGAGCAGACACAGCCACAGATCCCAAGAGATCCCATCCTCTCCTTTCCCTCCACCGGGCTCCCGAATCAGCTCATCCGAACCCTGGAGCTGGTTTCCCGCTGTGGAAAACCCTTGGTGGCCCCCCCCCCCCCAACCCTCATCCCCATCGGAGCGACGAGGGTTGTGTATGAGAGCTGAGATGGAGCCGGTGCGATGCAATTTTTAGCAGCGGCGTTATGCAACTCGGGAGCAGGGATGACTAATGTGCAAAAAACTCCTCTAAAACAACCGAGCCCCGAATGGGAGACGGAGGGATTTCAGTGGGAGGCACCAAACTGGTGAAAAACCCATCGCATCTTCTCCCTCTTCCTCCCCGCCTTCTCCTGAACAAGTGATTTGGGGGATGCGGGAGGGGGAAAACAGCACGTCGTTATTTTTAGGTGGGGTCTGGGTTGGTTTTGG